CTAATGGGCCAACAAGAATGTAAGGCTTGTCTTGTGCTCCTGTTTAGGTTTTGAGAAGAAATTTCCAGAGAAAAGCACTTCCTCTAGTGTAGCATCCACAAGGTTACTATTTTTATCATGACCAGTGCTACAAACGGTATTGTTTTAGGAGCCCAGAGAAACATGGGATTAACTCATTTGCTAGCTTAGCCACTTCAAAAAAAATATTTTAATGACCGCATTGTGAGATAGGGAAAAGACATCATCAAACAAGTGTTTAGGCGTACTGGTTTGACCAGTTCTGCGATCTACAAGATGTTCAATTACTGTTGGTGAAACCAGCCCCAGCACTGCGAAGACTGGGTTTCCTTTTATTTCCTTCAACAACCGCATGTACTCTAGTTTGTCTAGAGTAATAAATGATTCCTTAAATTCTGAGTGTGGTTTTGTATCTGTGCGTATGTTTTCTACAAATACTAAAGCTGTCCCCACAATTTCCGGGTCTTTTGTGTCCCGGTCTATTAGACATTGCATATCAGCCATTGAACTATTTATTTTGACTTACTGCAAGGCTATCTTAGGACAGTTGTTTTCTACGTTGTCCTACACAGAAGTCACCGATTCGACTTGGAGAGAAACAACAGTGATCTTCAACCCCATGTAAGAGTGATTGTGTATATAAACAGAAGGGCTTCCTGCTGGGACCATGGGTAGAGGGCTCAGCTGCTAACCAAGCGCCTGGCCACACTGCTGCTGCTCCACAATAGCAAGATGTGGGGGCAGTTTGCTCCTGGGAAGACGACAGTCTGGCAAAGCCTCGGCATTTCCCGTTGTCCGAGTTTCTGTATTCTGACCCATAGGGCTGCTGGGAGCCAGAATCAACTTGCTGCCAGTGTTTTTGGTTTGCCTTGGTTTGGGTATGTGTGTCCTAAGGTCTGTGGGTGGCACAAGGGGTTTGCATTAGACCCCTGCCCTAAAGGTTAGAAGTTTGCGCCCATCCAAGTTGGGGGGCTGCATGAGTAAAGCCTTTATCTCTGTGTATGTGTATACTATACATCTATACGATATCAACAGCTTTATTATTCCTGGTAGTCATAATGCCTTGTAGTGAAGGAGCATACTGCATTCTTTGACTTTTAAATTCTGTTTTCATGGGCTACGATTTACATCTGATCTCCTCACCAAATATACGCTTGCGGAAGCTTCTGGTAGAAGGTGCACCAGAATCATCCATGATGCACAGTCTAGCTTCACTAAGCAACTTCACTTTGCCTTACTTATAAATGGCAAGTTCGTTAGCCTAAGAGTAGAAGTAGTTTATTCCCAATTACACAGGCTACCATTATTCAGTAGAAGGATTAATATTTCTTTCTTCCTCTGACCAGCATGAATTTATGGACCTTGGACCCAAAAGAGAAGGATGAAAGGAAGATGGAGACAATAGTCTTACCAATGCCAGGGATTATAAAATGCACTTGGGGCCATGCGCCAATTTATAAACTAAAACCTCTACTACTACTCCATTCCTGGCATGTAGTAGTAATTGCAGTTCTGTTGGATTTCAAGCAAAAGAGAAGCTCTTTGTTGGGTGTGAAGGTGGTGAAAGGTTGATAGAGGAGTTTAACCATTGACAAAGGCTCAGGAGAGGAATGAGGGGATTGGAGGCCAAAGAAGATGGGAGTTCACCCAGCAGATAAGACCAAAGAGGCTCAGGAGTCCTGGGAATTGAGGTATGGTGGACAGAGGTCGTGGGATCAGCATTTAGAGAACGGATCAAATGTGAATTAGAATTGCACTTACAGAACAGGGTTGTGACTTGGGAAGGCTTGATGATTTTAGAGAGGACAGCTGGGCAACTAGATACAACAGAAAGCGATCCGCAAGGCTGTGATGGTGCTAATTCATATGTGTCATGATGCGTGCAGGGAGAGCCTCGGATGTTAGAATAAATCCCGAGAGAGCGAGAGATCTGAGAGGGCTATCAAAGAAAGAAGGTATCAATTTTTTTTTAAAAGAGGGACTTGTGTGAAAGGAAAGAGACATAAAAAGACAGCTTCCTTTATCGTTCTTGTGGACATGTCCACCAGAGTAGAGAACAGAGAAGTGAAATTTCAGAAAGTTTATTTTAGCCATTATTGGCATTGTCAGTCTTTGACAAATGAAATGGGGAAAGGACTTATGGATTGTTGGAGGACTGCTAAAATCGTGGGTTTTGATACAGTGCATTTTAAACTTCTATCTGCATGTGACTAGGAGAAAATATTAGCAGTTGATTGAGCCTGTCTGCTTCTCTGTGCCATCCTCCTATTTTAATCAAGTAAAGCGGAAATAAGCATTCATGGCTCTGCTGCTATCGTACCACTCTCTCGGGTCAAGTCTCAATACCGACGCACATGTGGGAATTGGAGATAAGTCATTTCCGTGGACACACTTCATCTTCCTTAGAAGCCATACAATGGTATCGTTTGCTTTGGGTCCAGCTTGGAGGCTTAGAATGGCATCTCTGGCTGTTCAGATAAGCCCATTTGAGGATCTGAGTCCTGCATGGCAGCCCCTGGAGCAGCAAGTTAGTGGTCCCAGAACCCCACTGTGGCCATTTTTCAGGAGCAAAAGCAGACAGCAAGAGATTCCCTGCTTTGGTGTTGACAGGGTTAGCTTGACCGGACAGGAGAGCTTCCTCCAGCCATAGGTGTGCCTCTGAGCTCCAGAACACTTCCTAATGAATTTTAAACCGAGAATCTCATTCTCTTAGAACTATCACTCGAGAATCAGAGTAATTATTTCCTATTGCCCTTTGTGGAATACAGTTATAATTGCATTACTGTTAACGTTGTTCGCATTAACACTTAATTGTTAATGTCCTCCTAATTTGGAGGAAATAATCACCTCTTCATATTTCATTGCCAGAAAGAGTTGTTAAACTCAAGATAATTTGAGGCTTCCAAACCGGGACAGGAGAAAGGATGTTGAATTCAGCAGTAGGGTTTGGGCGCGACTTGTCTTCCCTGGGACCTTTGGTGCCTTTTGGGTCTGTGAGTTTGTTTTCTGCACATCAGCTGCGTTTTGAGATTAAGCTGCAGTGCCACAGCCAGCCACTCATGGGACAGTAATAGGGACTCATTCCTATGTGGTGTGGACATGGTTCGGGGTTTCATGGTAGGACAAAGGCAGTGACCTTCTCTCAAAGCTGACATCCTGTTTGAGTGTTGAAAGACACATTAACAAGAAATGAAAGACACCACTGTGGCTTGCAAGGTCAGCCAGACGGTGGTGGGCTACAGGCCTTGACTTTCAGATGATTGTTAACTTCTTCCTTTACAATGTACTGAAAGCCTGTTGTTAACCACCAAGCCATTCCTTGGCTTGGCTCTGCAGCAGGAAACTGAAATATTTTGAGAAGTCTTTATTCAGGCTTGGGGTGGCAGGGGGCGGGAGGTTGGGTTGGGGGGCGGGTGGGGAGAAGAAAGAGGAAATGCCAGAATTATATCAATCTTTGCATTTGTGAAGGGAACATTGTTTGGCGGGTGTGAGGATCGAGTTCGTTTGATGACAGGATGGGCACCTCATGACATTGGCCTGGAAGAAACTTTCTTTGGCGGCAGAAAGAGAAATAACAATTGCCAAGCACAGGGAATAACTCTGTGGGTGTCCGACCTGTGTAGTCCCATGGGGCTTCAAGTTCAGAAGGGCCTAGTGTTTTGTTTAATGCCCCGCTCCCATCTTCAAATTGATTTCTGAACAGAGGGCGCCTCGTTGTCATTTGGCAATGGGCCCTACAATTATGTAGCTGGTCCTGCCGAGCACTCACTGGTGGTAGGAGCCAATGCAGTATACAGGTCACCAAGTGTGCTCAAAGCTGTGGTACCCTATGCCAATCACAGGTGATTAAGTTTTATCTGAGGGGGCTTCCGAAAACTTGTGGGGAAATTCCTTGTTTGTTTCCCCCAGGAACTCTGAGTAACTCACTCTCACCAACACATAAAACTGGTCTGACAACATTTCTGAGTTACGAATATCAGACTTAGGGACCACTGGTACTCACCCTGTGGTGTGATGTAAATTTGCCTTCACTTTGAAATCATGGAACCGACTTACACCAAATTCTTCATCACAATCACCTTCACTAGCAATGCTACAAGTGTAGCTTCTAAATTCTACTAGAAAAACCTTTTTGTACTGATGCATAGGTTCCCAAACATGCTTGGTCTACCGTCCCATCCCCCTTTTGGAACAAAACCAAACACTACTACAGCCCATAATCCAGGATAAAGTATAAGTCTCTGCTTTTGCAGCCCACCAGGATCTATCCAGTAACCAAGGGGGTGGTGGTGGTGGTGGTAGTGCCTACTTTGAGAAAAAATGTGCTAAAGTAAAGTGTGATAAGAACCATTTGCACTTGTTCCAAGTTACCTACAGATTTAATTTAAAGATGCACACAGGAACATGTCTAGTTTGTAAGTCAGGAACTGCCTATATTTCCTTAATGTTTACTGTTAAATTGGTCATTTCTACATACCGTGTATACTCGAGTATAAGCCAACCCAATTATCAGCTGAGGCACCTAATTTTACCACAAAAACTGCATTAAAAATGTGCTGAAAAAATCAGCTTATGCATGAGTATGTATGGTATATATGGTTCCTAGTGGAAATAAGAGACCATTAAAAATGCATTTAGGTTACAAAATTTTAATGTATGGTTTAGCAAAAGTTATTAGAATTCGTGTTGTGTGGTTCATCCCAACACAGAGCAACCCAAGTGACAGACTAGAAGTGCCCTACAGCCGGAAAGAAGCCCTGGTGGTGCAGTGGTTTTAGCTGGAAGGTCAGTGGTTTGAGCCCTACCACCTGCTCTGAAGTAGAAAGAGTACAGCCTAGAAAACTGAGACACTTCTCTGTCTTATGGAGTCCTCATGAATTAGGACCTACTTAATAACAGGCAACAACTGCGATTTTTTTAAACAACACTATTTTTCAGTTAAGTTCTATTTTGCAATGGCCACAGAGAACTCACAGCCAGTATTCACAATTCAGAAGGTTTATTAGGGACGTTAAGAGATTACCACAAGTCGGGATCAGCAAGCAGTAAGGATACAGTCCATGTCCCACTGCAACGCTCTCTTCAGCCAGCAGGCAAGTCTCTTTCAGGTCCTCAGTTTCTCAGGCAAGTGCTCCTTGGCCTTTGTCTCCCCGGGCCAGGAAGGCAGCCTGCCTGTCACTGTGTCCCACAGTTCCACGGTGTCAAGCCAGTTGGGGAGAAGGTAACCCTGCTCCTCACCATCCCTGGTGGATCTGGTCTCCTTGGCTTCCACCACTTTAGACAGAAACATTGCACTTGCTCATCCAAGTGGTCCGGGATTTCTGAATGGATGGCTTCGATGGAGTTGTGGTTTATCCTTTAGCCACCCATACCCCTAAGGAAAGCAAAAGAAGGTGTCTTTTGACACACCTTGTAGTGAAGGGGTCTTAATGATATCCCCATGGAAACAGAGTGTTCACCCGGCTCTACGAACGGTCTAGACTTAATTCCATCCTAACCCTACCCATTAGGATCGTAGAGCACCATCCTCTAATAACAGCCACCAACAGAGTCCAGAATTACAGTACATCACATAAGGAGGTATGACTAGAAGGGCCATTTTAATTGATTATAGTCCAACACAGCCCCCTTCACAGGTGTAGATTACAATGCCTTTTCGGCAGCAGAGTTGGTGGTTGGTGGGTTCAAACCTCTGGCTTTGCGGATAGCAGCTGAGCCTGCAACCATTGTGCCCCTGGAACAAATGGTGCCTGTAAGAACTCTTGCATGGCCTGGGGCGCATTCCTTAATTTCTTTTTCTTGGGGTGTGATTGTTTAGACCTGGAAGATTTCAAAAGCACCTACAGGGAAAGCCACCCTCCTTCTGAGCAAGGTCAAATGGCACAATTACTGCACAGACCTTTGGGAGACTCCTGCTCTCTGGCTTGATTTCTTATCAAGTTATGCACTGACAAGTGAGGAGCTGCACCATTCCCTTTCTTTTGCTCTGTGACTCATCAGCTTGGTTTCTCATAAACACCCTTCTCTTCCAAGTACAATCTAAAGTGTTCTGTCATTAAAAGCAATTTTGTTTTTCCTGCCTAAGGGAGACGGTTTTCAACAAAATATGTGCATTTTGACACCGTGAGTCTTGCCTAGTAAAAGGAATAAGTATACACACACACACACACACATTTTGGCTGATAAACTTTTTTTACCCCACAAAACAAAGGACAGTTAATATTTTTTCCCCTTTAAAAAAAAATTGTGATTTGCAATTCTTTCAATACATTTTGAAGGAACGTTTTGTGTAACTCCACTTTTTAAAAGAGAAAGGAAAAACAGTCCCACTGATTTTGTGTTATCAGTTCTGTGAAGGTGGCAGCGGTGTTGAGCATTAAATGAAGCATAAATAGGTCACAAGAGGAGAACGAAATGCTTTGTTGTATTTGAAAGTTGGGATTTAAATGCTTCATTCCACAAGCTACTAATTATGTATTTACCTTAAAAAAAAAAACAACAACCAAAAAAACAAAACCCGTAAGTCTGATTTTTATGTCAGCTTATAGGCACATAAGTGTTACCCTCTTCTTATTCTTTTTGCTCAGCTGTGCTGTGCAAAGAAATGGACAGTGGGTCACTGGCCTGCTCGCTCTTCCCTGGGGAAGACAACGTGGTCATACTTCCCAGCCCTGCCTCCAGGTCTGCAGCTGTGCGTGCTGGGCGCTGGCCTGCCCTCCTGACTCTCACTCGCACATGACTTCTGGGTCAGTCGAACCCAAAGGTGAAGCTGCCTTATGAACAGGCAGTGAGCCAGGATCTCTTAAACTTTGGTCATCATGTACTACTTTCAAAATATTTGCAATGTGCATGTATCTACCACCTGTGCTAAAATTTATTTAATAATTTTCTTTAAACTAGACTCTAATATTTTTCTTAGAAACTTTATATGCCTAAATGGCCCATTGCCGTAGAAGCAAACAAGTCAGTGAGCCTACCCTCATTTTGATAGAAGTCTGGAGTCACTGATCTTAGGGAGAAAAACCCAAACCCACCACGCTGGATTTCTCAGAGACCCTGGAGCGGAGTAGAACTGCTCTCGGGGGTTCTGAGACTGTGTAATCTTTACTCGAGCCAACAACAGCCTCATCTTCATCCCACAGAGTGGCTGGTGTGTTCCAACGGCTGGCCTTGTGGTTAGCAGCCCAAAGCTTAACCCATGCACCATCAGAGCGCCATAGTGCATTGGGGAGGTGTTAAAAAGGAGACCCTCAGAAGTGCTCTATGGGGGAAAGCCCTGCCTGGCAATTTGTTCCTGGGCAGTGGCCAGGAACAGCCCTACTCGGAGTATGAGTTGAATCTGTGGTACCTAACAACAACAAAGCAGTGTTGACTGTTGTTAGTTGCTCTCAAGTTAGGCTTGTGGCTGTCCTTGGACGACAGACCAGAACATGCCTGGTCCTGAGCCGTCCGTCCTCAGGATGGGGTGTTTGAGTTCACTGCGGTGGCAGTTGTATCAGTCTGTCTCATTGAGGGTTCCCTCTACTGTACAAGATGCCCTTTCCTAGCAATCGGGCTTTCCAAATGTGAGCATCAGACTGAGATCATCTCCTTGACTCTCTGGAAGTGGATGCACGAAGGAATATTTTTTAATCATGTGGTTAATAAAGCATCTCTATACACCTGTAGTCTTGCTAACACAAATGGCGATACTGTATAGGACTTTCACTCTGAAAATACGGCCTTCAGTGAACAGATTTGATGGGTGCTAAGACTACCCCTCTACTTGTTATGTTGTGTAAAATCCCACCATTATAATCGGTCCTTTAGATTTATAGTTCGATTTTGTTCAGTAATTACCTATTTAAATGTAAATTACTCTGTAACCTTTTAGTGGTGTTCTAAAGATTGGTTTTCCTTATTATTGAGACTAAAGCTCTACCACAGAAGGACACAGGCCAGAGATCGGGCCTGTGGATGAGTAAAAGAAATATTCAAACAAAACAAACAGACATTCTTTACAACTAACTTAGTGTGAGAGTCTTGTTTTTTGCTGCTGCTGTCAGTGTAGCATCGCCTCGCTTCAGTCTTCCCACCTCCACTCTGTGCTGCTTTCCAAAAACTCTCTGTTGCCACCCTCCTCACAGCCCACCTCAAATACAGAGACACTCCGTACCTTGCTTACAGGACTCACCACGTGAACTGACATTCCTCTTATGAGCTCAACTTACCTCCTCTGGTAGACACAATATAAGAAACACAGGAACATTTGACCTTGACCGAAAGCTTGGAAGTGGAGTGTCACAGAGGTAAGTTTTCGGTAAGCTAGTTCCGCACATGGGTAGCAAGGGTCTCTTTATCCGACCAGATTTGGCTCCGTGACATCCTGTAATCCTGTGGACAGAAATCATTGGGACAGGAAGACACTGAGGCTTGCTGAGGTGTGGGCGTAGGTAAGGGAGTTTGGGGAGAGAAGCCATTTGGATAATTTGAGCTCCGGTGCCCAGCTGAGCTTGAGCTATGTTTCTCAAGCCTCGCTGACTGGCTAGAATACATGGACAGGGAGAATAAAGCATTCGCCCTGCAAAGCAGAGCAGTGACTCAGCATTTAACATACGTGTGCCTTCGACAAGGATTATGGCTTAACACACTTTATGAGCCGCCCATTGTCTCTAAATCCATGGTGAAACTTTGGCCATCACTACAAAAGGGTTGGCCGGATGAACGGGACTGTTTCAGCAAAATGATGCATCCTAAATAATTTAAGCACCATTTTTTGAGTCATGGTGTCATAAAAAAAAATAGTGCTTGGGAGTCTAAATATGTAGAATTCTAAGTTCTGCATTTAGATATCAACCAACTTGAGAATCAGATCCCCATTGCTCCAGGCTTTTTCTTGGCACTTGGAGATGACAATGACTTGGGTGTTTGGTAGTAGAGCACATGGCTGTGTCTGGTCCCACAACTCCAATGACTTGAGGTTTCTCATTTTCTTTGTCTTTCAGTGAAGATCTTAGACTACCCCGCATGAGTTTTCTCTGTGTGTGCATGTGTGCATTTTCTCTTCAGAGAACTGAGACCGCCTGACAGGACTACAGTAGTTTTAAGAATGGGAAGCATCCCTGCAGACCAACTGGCGTAACCAGTTGGGGGAAAACGGGTTAAAAGGGCGATTACTCATTATATTTTGTATGCTGCTGTGAAAGCTTTGCTCTAGAACAAAACCTGTGGTACTTAGTTAGCTTCCTATTTATTTAATTTTTAATTATGTTGGACCAAAGTTCCCACAAGCTGACTTGGCTCTCACCTTTCGGAGGGCCATGCACAGATTGATGTCGCTTCCCTGGAGTTGACACAGTGGAGCCTGTGTCCAGCCATTGCAGTAAGGCCTGCTGGGACTCCCTGACCACATTCATTTTCCTGTTTTTTCTACACAAATAGTGATGGAACAAGATCTAGGAAATAGAGTTCACATTGGGTTGTCTCAGCGAACCTTCAGCCATCCTCCTTACAGAGGCTTACAAGCTGGTGTTCTCTCTCTGCAGGTCGTGAGGAAGGATGGCCTTGGGGAGGGATTTGCAAAGACGTGAAGGTGCAGCCTGGTGTATTATAAATCATGATTTGGGTCACATTTGAAAATAAAAAGCTTTCCTGTCGCAGTTGGTAACCATTGGCCTAAGGAAAGGCTGTGGTTCAGAAACTTCCCTTGAATTGTTTTTCTTGAAAAACATTTTTTCCCTCACCCAGAATTGAAAGTTTGGGTCACAGGTGTGAAGCCTTAGGCCCTGCTTCCTCGGTGAGCTCAGTGCGGGTCTCAAGGACAAAGAAGAGAAAGGAGAAATCAAGTTTTTACGTTCAAAACAGATTTACGTCTCCAGGCGGAGGGACAGCTACAGGTGTCGTCTCGGCAGGCACAAGGAAGAGTTGGAAGCAGTAGCTGTAGACTTGAGATGTTTACTTCCCGTCGCTCTTTCCTGGCAGGATGGAGTTTGCTCGTGGGTTTGGTTGTGCGTCAGAATTCTTTCGGTGTGATAAGTGGAGGTTAGCTACTTGGGGACTGGTGGTTAATTTCAGCCTATGGGCAACACCCCTCTCGCCCAGGATTCCCTTTGTAACATTTTGCTCTGTGGGTTTAACTAAACTGTCAGGATGGCAGAGGGCTGAGTTATTGGAATTCATCGCACAAAGCGCAGGCAGGAAATGAAACCGTTCACCACCCCAGAGAAGGATAGTCCGTGGCAGGGAAGGAGACGGTTGGGCTGAAAATGTTCTGTGATAGTTTGTTTTTCTAGAATCTTGTGTGCAGAATTCTTCCCTTTGTTCCCTGAGGATGTACAGACAATGGATTTCAAGGCAGTAAGTCGCACTCCCACCTTCACTAAAGCACAGGCTTTCTCTGGTTTGTCCTGGTAAAGGGGCAGGCCTGAGCCTGTGTGACCTTCATCCAAGGCATCCCAGGGTTGGAGTGTGACAGGGATGGTGAAGGGTTTGGGGATGTTCTGAGACACACACCCTTGGGGAAGAAGAGTGGACCGAAGCTTTCTCTTGGCCCTAGAAGCTGCTGTGCAGGCCCTGGGCTGCATCCATATCCCTCCAGTATCCAAAGGTTATGGGTCTGGGACAGGGTGTGCCTAAATTACTGCTTTGCCTCATTTTTAAACTTTATAATGCTCCTATTGTCCCTCTCCACAGTCATTGCTTCTAGTTTAAGGATTGATATTAAAACTTTCTCAAAGCTTTCCTGAGCTCCAAAATTACTCTTAATGTGTTTACCCCGCTTCCTCTGCTGCTACCCTGCAAAGCAAACCCTAATCGAGTCTGAGGTCTTTGGAGAATATCACCAATCAGATGGTCATGTTTATGTACCATTATTAGAGTACTGCATGGCACAGTGCCTGCGAACCACATGAGCAACCATTCAAAACCACTGGTTGCTCCTTGGGAAAGGGGCGTGTCTTTCCCCTCCCATAACGACTTACAATTGGGGGAACCCACAGGGGCAGTTTGACTCCACTCTAGGGGTCACTCTGCTTCTGAATCCACCTGAGTTTGGTACAGCTCCCTAAGTGTGATTTCGAGTCAAACATTAGTAACATCCATCCATCCGCCTGACGAGCCAAAATGCAGTGTTTTCCTGAAAGAAAGAAGATGGGGAAACATATGCAAGGATGTAGAAATGCATCTATGACGTTTAAATAGTTTACGAGAAGCTCTCACTTCCTGCAACACCTTTTTACCTGGACCTTGAGCTTATCACTTCATTGTTTAGGAGATTTTTTCCTAAGCTTTCTAATAGTTTGCTTGCATGTCAGAGTCACTCTTCTGTAACATTTAGGTTGTGTTTTTCATAAATATCACAAGTTAGTTGGCTGAATCTTGATATTTATTATTTTGCACACATTTAAATATACGAGGGAGTATCAAAACCCCCCGGAATTGTGCAGAACGGAGCTTTCATCGTAGTACACATTTTTCTTGCTAGGCGAGCATTGAGCAACTCGCTCTGAGGTAGTGCACCCAGTGGCATCACCTGGAAAGGTTCTCTCTGGTCACAGTGAATTTTTTTTGTAAAAGCAGTTTTCGCTCAAACCTAATTTTTTTGTGATGGGTGATTTAAATGAACAGCATGCGGCTGTGAAATTTTGTTTCCTGTGAAACTTTGTTTCCTGCTCAGGAAAAATGCCACAGAAACTGTTGTGGTGTTAAACACAGCTTACAAGGATAACGCTATGGGGAAAACTCACGTGTACAAGTGGTTTTCTCCTTTTAAAAAAGGAAAAATGTCGATTGATAACAAACCTCGTTCTGGCCATCCAGTCAACTTCCCGAACTGATGAGAATGTCGGCTCATGATGCACTTGGAGTTTGTTCCCCCAGATCAGATTGTTACTCAAGCTTTCTATTTAGAGGTTCTGAAAAGATTGTGTAAAGGTGTGTGACCAAAAAAGACTTGATTTGTGGCAGGCGGGGGGCTGGTTTGTCACCACGACAATGCACCTGCTCACGCAGCCATCTCAGTGCTCTAGTTTTTGGCAAAAAAACAGCATGCTTCTCCTGCCCCACGCACCTTACTCGCCTGATGTCGCTCCTGGAGACTTTTTTTGTTTCCCTGAATGAAGAGGGACGTGAAAGGACAGTGAGTGCGAGAGGCGGAGATCCAACCGAGGGTGGTGCTGGCAGCCATCCAAACAGATGAGCTTGAAACATGTTTCCAAGAACAGAATAGTAGCTTTGACAAATTTATAAAGTATAATGGAGAGTACTTTGAAGGTGATAAGATTGTTTTGTAAAAAAATTTAAATACAAAACTATTGGGGGGGGGTCTGTTTTTTTTTGAAGGATTACCCCCATGTGTGTATTCAATCAATGTATGTTTAACCTGATTTAAGTTAAACTGTATATTGTAATTCAAAGGTTTTTTTAGTGATATATGACCATTATTTATTCTACTGGATAAATGACCAAGGTGAATTTTATCAAAATATTTTCAGAATGAGTGTGGTTTTATTCTAAAAATAAAAAGCATGCTGCCTCTCTCTTTCAAAGACTTAGACTCAATAAGGTAATGGAGACTTCCTCCTGTCTCTCCCTTCTTTTGCCTGTCCCTACCTTCGTCCATGATCTAAGATTAGCCCCCTTGGTAAAGTCATTATGAGTCAGAATTGATTTGTTGCCAGTGAGTTTGGGTTAGGCTGTTATTTGTAGATGGAAGAAGCCCTGGTTGCATTGTGGGTTATGCATTGGGCTACTAAATGCAAGGTCAGCAATTTGAATCCCCTGGCCGCGCCACAGGAGGCTATCTGCTCTTGTAAAGATTTACATACTCAGACCATGTGAATCAGAATGGGCTTGGTAGCAGCGACACCTTTGTAGATGGGAGCAATAGAAAGATGGGGCTGTATACTTGCGCAAATACTACAAGTTGCAGAAAGCCAATAAAGGATCCAGGTGAGCCTGAATCAACTCATCCAGCAGTGGGTTGGTTAAATTTTAGTATTTGTAGGTGAGGGAACTGAGCACTGAGAAGTATGTGGCGTTCTCCGCATCACACTGTAAGTTAGTGTCAGAATGGGCACTAGAACCCAGTTCTCCCACCTCACAACCTGCTGGGTTCTCTCCTGAATGGGCTTGTGCTTAGTATCCTATTTTTCTCCCGTGAATAAACTTCAGGTTCATGAACCTTTGGCCTGTTAGCACATAAGACGTGTGAAACATCAATGCAATGGGTCTGGGAGGCTAGAGGAGAGGAAGAGCCGGCTCCGTGTGGCTGAGGCTGTCCTTTGCTTTGTGGAACACAGGGTGATGCTCCTTAGTCACAGGGAGGGCAGTGGTTCCTGGGTAGCACCGCCCCACACAGCAGGATGCAACTTTAAACCTTTCC